AGAGAGAGAGAGAGAGAGAGAGGAGGGGGGGGTAAGATCATTTGAGAACTCATAGTTTCCTGATAATCCAATAACTAAAAGTGGAGTGTTAGATTGAAAAAATAGATGACTTGGATCAAATGTGACATTTTTGTAATTATTGAGAATTTTAGTCGTATCTTAGGGTTTAAAAACAACCTAAGGGTAAATAAGACATAAGAAATATCATCTACAAATTTTCCAAATTACTTTAATCAGTGTTTATTTATCTTTGGTTCTCTATCTCATGTACGACTTCAGCGATGCCACATTCTCACTCCTCCATCCTCATGAATGACCAATATCTCGTTGTTGTTGATTTTCCTTAAAACGTCAGAGATATCTCCTTCCTTAGCTACCGTTATAGACCGTGAATAGAAGTGGTCGTCTACAATCGCCTCCTCATTCTCACTGTCGTCTTGAGTCACCAGTCTTGTTGTTGTCAATATGACCTAACACATCGTCAATGTCTCTCCTTCCTTGGCCATTATTTTAGATCTGGAATAAAACATCAATCAAACTGGCCTCGTCGATTTACTCGTCTACGATCATCAGGTATCATTTATCACTATTTGTTCGTATTATCCGATATTATACCAATATGAAATTTATTTATATGTGGATCATTGTGACATAATTTTTCTAATTGATGGAATTTTCTAGTTGTGCTGGATTCCTAAGATCCAAATCACAATCGTCGTCTCCATTCTTCCTAAAATCCAAATCACTAGTTATCGATCTCTATTGTGGCATCGATTGTTTACTATAAAGTTGGAGATTGGTTCTAGTATATCAATATATCTGTCTTCTAATGTAGAACTTGATTATTTGCTTAGGATGTTGTTGATTGGGGATTCAACAACACTAGACTTGAATGAAGGATGCCCTACTCAGGGTCGTTCCAAACATATTTTGGGCCCAGGGCGAAAGAAAAAAATGGGCCCTTAAAATACACAAATGTCATCAATTTTTTTATAATAACTCAATAATTGAAAAAAAATCACTTGTACTATCTTCTAAATATAACAATTTCCATAAAAAAAAATTGGACCCCTTCAAAATATGGGCCATGGACGGTCGCCCCTATCGCCCATCCTCTAGGACGAACCTGGCCCAACTTTAGGTATGTATTAATTGATTGTACCTCCTGATACATTGTTATTGCATATAGATTGTTTAATACTAGGTAGGTCATTTTACATATACTTATTAATATTTTTTCCTTCTTTTCTTTATTATTCTAATTTTTGTTTCAATCTTAATTATTCTATTTTTGGGTTTAGTTGCTTCCAACAGGCCGAGAAAATGAGTTGTAACTTTGGTCAAATATAACAGGTTTGGATATAAGCGTTTGAAAGTTCGTTATGATTTGGTCAATTATTCATATGTGAATGTTACTTGGTATAGTTACATCTGAATATTATATAATATATTCTCATTTGAATATTACATGATATATCCATATATGAATATTACATGGCATATTCACATGTGAATATGCTTTTATTTGTTATTTTCATAGTAATATTATATATGTATTGCGTTTATATGGTATAATTACATTTCAATCTTTAATGATATAATCACATGTGAATCTTATATAATATCACCACATGTGAATCTTATGTGTTATTCAAGGTATATTCATATGTGAATCTTTCACTATATATATATATATATATATATATATATATATATATATATATATATATATATATATGTTGATATGCACATGATACAACAAAATGTGAATCTTTCATGATATAATCAAATGTGAATATCACATGGTATATTCACATGTGAACTTTTCATAATATAATCACATGTGAATATCACATGATATAATCACATGTGAATCTTACATTATATAATCAAACGTGAATCTCGCATTTGAATATTACATTATATAACCATAAGTGAATCTTAAATGATATAACGCATGTGAATTTCACATTCATAATAAAATCACATGTGAATATCACATCATATAATCAAATGTGAATCTTATATGATATAATCACATGTGAATCTCACAAATGAATCTTTTATTATATAATCACAGGTAAATCTTTAATGATATAATCACATATGAATTGTATATTTGAATCTTCATGCTAAAATCACATGTTAATGTCATATTATATAATCACATGTGAATCTTACATGATATATACATATGCATTTTGTAAGTGTTCTTGCATTAATCTTTTTTTTAAATCTTCTTATAGATTTGAAAGAATTTGTGGAAAAATGAAGAGGAGAAAAGTAATAAATTGAAGAAAATCAGACAATCTTGACAAAGAAATGAAAACACTTTGAGATTTTGTAGCATTTTTTATTTTGTATATTTTATCTTGTACTGAATAAAATGTTTGTACTACTATGTTTATAGATTATTAAATAAAAATGTATTTTTTATGATTTACTTGCATTTGAAAAAATATGCATATATATATATATATATATATATATATATATATATATATATATGAAATGTTGATTTTGTTGTTAAATTTTTTTTAGCTTTTTTAAATGATCCAGTTTTTTAAATAATTTTTTTTTTGAAATTACAACTTTTTTAAAAAAAATTCAAAATTATACAATTTTTAAAAAATTCACATTTTTAAAAATATTTAAAAATTTGTATTTAAAAAAAATTAAAATATTATTAATTTTACAAAAAAAAAATCCCAAAATTAGATTTATTACGTTGCTTTTTAGACAATTTTATTAATATTTCCAATAAAACAAAAAAATAAACATTAAATGATATGCATAAGATGACGATCATGCCCTTAATGAATTAATTTTAATCTATCGTTCCACTTTTAGTTATCGGGTTTTTCATGAATATATGAGTCATCAACGGACTTCAACAAAATATATATA